CCGGGCCTCCCGACCCGCTCGCGCTCTCCGGCCTGGTCTGCAGCAGAGACTGCGGCGGCGGCCTGGGGCGCCGCGGCCCCGCGACGTGCGGAGCATCTTCGAGCAGCCGCAGGATCCCCGCGTCCCTGCGGAGCGAGGCGAGGGGCATCGCTTCGCCGAATTGGCGCTTCTGGGCAGCCCCGGCTGGTGTGACCTGTGCGGACGAGAGGTGCTGCGGCGGGCGCTGCGCTGCGTCAGTGAGTGCGCGGGCAGGGGAAGGGCGCGCGGGCAGACCGCAGCTCAGGGCCCCAGGACTGCGACGGGCTGGGGAGGGAGAGAGGGGCCACTGCCCTCTTGGCCTGCAGGGGGGACCCCGACTTTAACCAAGGGAGATCTCCCCTGGAGACACTCTGCTCCTTAGTCCCTTGCCCGGTATCCTTCAGGTATGGTTATGGGGTGTTTAGCAAATACCTCTCTCCCGACAGGTGAGTGCCTGGCTCTCCGCTGACACACACGCACACGCACGCACGTTGGGGTGGGTGGCCGAGGCCGCAAGGTCATTCCGTTGTCTCCCGTGCACCCTCTCGCTTTTGTTGTAGGTTCTTGGGAATGGGTTGTGAGACTGGTACTGAGATGGCCATTTGACCCTTGCTTATTAGGGTTAATGGCAAAATGGCTTGTTTGTTCGACTGTGCTGCAGGGAGGAGATGTAGTTAGGCTTTGGACAGAAACGTGCCGTGAGGTTGAAGAGAGCCTGAGGTCACCCTGGACCTGTGCCCCCTCCTGCCTTCCTCCTCTGGCCCCTCGAACCTTTGGACTCTGCCCTGATGTTTGGCTTTGCCTTGCCCCCTCCTCTTCCTTCTCCTGGATTCCTGCACCAGGCATCATGTTCTAAAATTACCCACCTCCCAGCCGGGTCCCTTCCTAAACCCAGAGCTCTCAGGTCCCTCCAGTTGCCTCCTGAGCCAGGCGCTTCCCAAAACACTGGGCACCCAGGACACAGATTTTCTGAGCAGATCCGCAGTCTTCTTGGGGGTTTATTATTTTCTCCTCCTATGGTTAGGTGTGTGTATTTCTTTAATAGGTGCTCCCCCAACCCCCATATTTGCTGTTGCCATGTTTGGCATAGGCTGTACATAGCCATGTGCTTCTGTGTTTATAAGATATATATAGATATTTTAAATATCTGAAGCACAAAGCACAGACAACACAATGGCACAACCTCTAACAAGCATCTCTGGAAATGGATTGTGGTTTGCATCTTTCAGCAAGGGTCCCTCCCCCATGACAGCAGCCTTGCATCTCCCATGCAACTGCAGCACTGGACAGCAGCAGCTACTTCCACGCCAGGAAAACCCTACTTTTCCTCTCTTCAGTCCACAGCTGGGGCTGTTCAGTGTGTCTCCCACTGCAGCTGGCTGCAGAGAAGGAGAGCTCAGACTCCAAGCCAGGGTCAAGTGGAACGGGAAGACCGGGTGGGTGCGGCTCTTTCTACCACCAGAACTCACAGTTCAGGTGCTAATTAAAAAGGAAAGAGCAAAAGTTATAGAGGTATGTGTTGTGGGTGGAGGGGCTGCTGTCATTTGGTAAATGCCTCTGACCTTACAGTGGAATCAAATGCAACTTGCCCTTGGATGTGTTGGTAGCTTTCACGCTCTCAGGAGTTCTTTACTGCATCCACCAACCCTATGACCATGAAGAGGTAATGGGTTTTATTGTGCTGGAATTTCAGGCAATCTGCTTCTCTGGCATTACAGTTTGTATTTAGACTTTTTTTTTTTCCTTTTTGTCTTTTTTCGTGTCCGGCAACGGATCGCAACCCTCAGTGTCGCGCCCGTACCGGGCCGGGACCGGCCACGGGATCGCAACCCTCAGTGTCACACCTGCACCTCGCTCAGCCAGTGAGCGGGAACCGGTCTGTATGTGGGATCCGAACTCTTGGCGCAAGCGGCACACTGTAGCAGTGCGCCACCGGGCCGGCCCTGTATTTAGACTTTTAAGGACCATGTCAATTGTTGAATATTTTGCACATAATTTTTTGATTTTTTTTTTTTGGTTTGGTGATTATAGTGTATTTGTATGTGCATATGTGTGATACTCCATGATTAAATGCATTAATCGTCACTTCATGGTAGAATTGTTTATTTCCTTTGATTAGGTTATAAACAGTTTCTAGTGGCAGGAAGACCCAGGTCCACAGGCAGTACCTCTGACTTTGTGTGTGACTTGGTGAAGTCTTATCACTTTCCTGGGCTTCCACGGCCCCCCCACATAGTTGGTTTAATACAAACCAGGGATGTCTGAACACCAGAGAGGAAGCAGAACTGGAATCAAGGGGCTATACAGAAGAACCTCTGTTTGTAATTAATATTTAACTAATTGTGAACCTGTGGCTGGGTGGGAAAAGTTGAGGAATGTTCTGATGTGCAAATGAAGCTGGCAGGTGGAGACACAGCAGGCTGAACTCACTGAGCATCTTTTCCATCTTTCTCTAAATTGAAGGTCAAGTTCCATAGTGAGTTGGTTTGTTTGATCTTTAGTTTGAAAAGCAAAGGTCAGAAATAGAACTTTTCAAGGGCCATACTATGCAGTGATTAAGAGCACACACTGGAACCAGAGTCCTGGGTTTGAATCTTGGCTGCTACTTAGTTTCTATGTAACCCTGGGCATCTCTGTGCTCTGCTTCTTGTTTTTTTAAAAAAATAGGGATAATAATATTACCTACTTCATCATGTTAATGTGAATTAAATGGATTAATATATGTAAAACATTTAGAGCAGTGCTTGGCAAAATGCAATATGAACATTTAATTCAATATGAATGTTATTATTATCCCCTCACAACCAACAGCTGTAACAACTAGTCTGAGCTTGTGACAACTCCTAGAATCACTTTTCCAAGCAGTGAGAACAATTTTCAAACTCTGCCTGGTTGCTGAGCTAACTGGGGAAGAGAGTACTGTTGGCATCCCAGGAAGGTTGGGTAGTAAAGTGTCCTCTAGAAATGCCACTCCTGCCCATTGTCTTCAGGTGAGGCCTGTTGTGGCTAAGGAGCATCCTCACAGAATGCCAGTGCCTGAGACCGTCTGTGCCTGGCTCAGGGATCCAAAGACATTGGCTCCTTGTCTTTGTATCAGTTGCACCCAGCAAAGTGCCAGGCACAGAGCACCATCTCAATAAGTGGTAGTTGATGAAAGTGGTGGCATGTTTGTGCTATTAAATCTCCCTTCTCTTAGAAACAAGCAGAAGGCCGGTGTGTATGGGAATGACATCTGCCTGCACAGGAGGCCGACACTGGGTGGGAGCCGTATTGGCAAAATGGGCCATTAATAAGGGAAGCTTTAAGAAAACCATCTTCCCACTGTCTGCCTGCCTTTTTAGTGAAAGTTTGCCTAACGTGAGTTTACTCCTACTTCAAGGTCTATAACTGAGCTCTGGTTAATGCTGCATTTGCCAACAGGAAAATTCAGAGTTAATATTAATTTTCAGGATTAAGAAAAAATTCAGTGTTTTTTAGAGAAGGAAATCCCTTGGGGACTGGGGACAAGACATGGAGAAAGAAGGGGAGAGAGAGAGAGAGAGGTGGTGTGAGATCACTGTGTGTTTTGGGGTGGGGGTGGGTGGTAATGCTGAAGTCCATTTCCAGCATTCCAGGAGGGGGTGGTCAACAGCAAATAACCTGAGGTACTCACCGGCTGCCCTTTGGCTTTGTTCTCAGGGACTGTCTTTACAGGTCGTGGGCCCTGTCGCATGTATAAGGCGCACAGAGATGGCCTTTTACCTTTTTATCTTATTTTGGTGGATGTGTAAGCCGTCCTGGACCAGGGAATGGTCTGGCAGTTGGAGAAACTTAAATCCAACCCCAACATTCCTAGAGGAGATGCTTAGACATGCCCCGTACATTGTTAGTGAGCATCGTGTGTCTGCTCCTGGGGTTGAGGTCTCTCTCCGGAGGGGGTTACTCAGAGCTATGAAGTATTAAGTGATTGGAATTATGGAGTTGAAAGGGGGGCCTGGGTCTCATCATCCCACCTCCCCTGGCTGCGATATACTTATAATGGTGTGAGTTTTGCCATGCAGCCCCCAGGGAGGGGCACAGGAGCCTTTCTCGTGGAGTGTGGCTGGTGTCTCACAGGGCCCCTTGTCCAGCCTCTCTAGTCTTGTCGCTGCATTGATGGCTGGGCTTAACTCAACTCTCTCCACAACTGGAACTACCCGTGTGACAGCCTCCTGATCCTGCAGATCCATCCCCTGTCCTGGGCTCTTTTGGAAAAGAGGCTACTGGGACAATGACATTGACTCTTCCTGTAGCAGAGAAAGGTCTTGGAAAGTGTCCTGTGTTGTCCTGACGGCTCCTGTATTTACCTTGGGTACTTCAAAGGTATTTGTTCAGTATACTCAGTGGTGCTGAAGTGTGTGGCTTGTGTTTTCATTGATTTATGTCCATGCTTGGCTTTGGAAGTTAAATTAAGCACTGAAAGTGATGTTTTGTTGTTGAAGATGGTGGGAATCCCTTACCCCCCAATCCTTCCCCTACCCCTTGCTCTAACTGGGGACATTTTCTTGGGAAAGGTCCTGGTGGAGGGTGTGAGTGTTAGAGCACAGGGAAAGGACCCAGAATCATTTCAAAGAGACCTTCTGAGCTCTCCACACTTGACCGTCTGTGTTTCCTCTCCTCCCTGCTTCCTGTCTTCTCAAAAGATGAAAGTGAAAGGATTAAATGTGGGCTTAATTTCCCCCCATTCATCAGAGCATGAAATTTTCTGATTATGGAGTATCGGGGGCTTGAATCCCAGGTACAGTCAAAAATGATTAATGCCACTTGTCTCCCAGCCTAATTAGACTTGGTAATGATTGTGTGTATTCGCCTGCTGATCCTGCAGAGTTATTAGGTGGCAGCGAATTGACATCTCCTCTTAACACTGAAGGCTTGGTCTGGGATCCTCTCCTCTCCCAAGTTAACTAGTGAATCAGCCTGTGCCACGCCTGGCAGGGAGGCCCTGTGTGACAAGGAAAAGACAGCCCCCAGCCCAGCCCCAAAGGCCCTGCCTGGCTGGTGGAGTGACCTTATCCTGTCAGGGAGCTGCCTGCTATTTGTGAAGTGTGTGTAGGTCAGAGCCGGAGGCTCACAAGAAGCTGCTGTGGTTCCACTCATGCCAGGCCCAGCCCAGGTCTGAGAATGAGCACAGGAAGAATTCTTTGCATGTCAACAGTGCTTTTTCTCTGAAGAGCCCTAAGTGTTTACATGCTTGCTGCTA